GTGGTGTGTGGGGGGGTGGGAGGGGAGGGTGGGGGGGGGGGGTGAGGGTGGGGGTGAGGGTGAGCTTCCTTGATGTTTCCACATGTCTGTGTGCAGGTCAACCTCTGCCTCCTCCAGGCCTCGGTGGAGGAGGGCTCTCCGTCCTCCTCCACCAAGTGTGTCACACATGTGTCACTGGTGGCGCTGTGCTTTGACAGGATCGCTACCCAGTTCAGGATGAACAGGTAATACTTCAACTACTCGACTAATACTTCAACTAGTCCTTAGTTCAGAGTCTTCTGCTGTACAGACCATGAAAGGAAGCCAAACGTCGTCCAGCTCCATCATGCAGTACATGCCTTCCTCCAACAGGGGCATCGTAGAAGAGAACCCAAATACGACAGAACATGGCCGACCCTCTGCCATGCTGGAGAAATACGCCTCGGCCACTAAGATGCAGCCTCAGTCCTCGGGCTCGCTGCGTTCCAACGCCGGCATCGAGAAAGGCAAAGAGATCGCAGCCAGGCTCAACGTTCACCGCATCCACAGTCAGCTCCGAGGACTGGACTCCACAGGTGGGTTCAGCCAATCACAGAGCACGTGTGACATCCGCTCTTCTTCACCGTGTTTGTGACAGATGGTTGATGTGTTGGTGGTTCTTCTGTCACAGACATCGGTACCTGTGCCATCACAGCCATTCCCTCTGAGAAGTCCAAGGTTCTGTTTGGTCTGGAGGAAATGGACGAGTTTTCAATGGTGGATGAGACCGACACACAGACCACCTCAGAAGACCTCAGCCGCTCCACCATGGTTCTAGAGAAGTGGGGCTGGATCATGTTTGAATGTGGCATCGAGAACCTGACAGTGAAAGGTAACCTGAGATCGGAGATTCTAGAAGTCCAGGGTCATGTGACTCCAGGAAGTCTCTGCCTACAACACTGTAGAAGTTCTATACTAGAGTGAGAATGTTCTGAGGGTTGATGTTTCCCAGACTGAAACTGAAGTGACCAGAATTAAATCTGCAGGATGTGGCAGAGCAGAGACAGGAAACAGACGCCACAGTGTTGAGGGAGGGGTTCTAACTGATTCCATTCTCACTGCCAGGGGGGCGCCAGTCAGGAGCCGTCCTCTACAATGCGTTTGGGTTGATGGGACACTCGGACACCGGGGCGAAGACGGGGACGTGCAAGTCCAACGGTTCAACAGGCTCCCAGACAGGAAGTGGTTACAGCACCGACGTCTCTGATGACAACCTGACCCATGACCCTCTGAGCCCCGGTTCTGATGTCAACGAACACTCGGACTCAGACGACCAGGTAGGTCATCCTGTTCTTCACGTCCCCCAGACCAGGGACATTCCTGGAGGACGTCCTACAACTGTAGTACAATCTTAGAATATGTTGTCATGTAGTAATTGAACAACATCGTCATGGTTGTTGTTGTTGTTGTTGTTGTTGACGACCAATCAAAACCATTCATTAGTTTTCCATATCATCTGATTTTGCTATTCTCTGATCTGCAGGATGAGGGGGTGGAGTCGGACGACCTGAAGAAAGACCTCCCCCTCATGCCCCCCCCTCCTGACTCCAGCAGCATGAAGCTGACCATCAGAGAGATCTGGTTCAGTTTTGCTGCTCCCACAGTCGTGCGCTCACCTTCACAGACCATCTCCAGGTGAGACTGAAGTCTGAGTCTGAAGGCGACGTTCCTTAACGAACCGGAGGATCCACAGCACATGATGAATATAAAAACAAACATGCTGTCCTTCGTCCACTGACAGAACACTGTGTGTGTGTGTGTGTGAGAGAGACTGTAACCCAGTGCCTGTCGTTCACAGACAGCTGAATCTGCTCAGCACGGCCACACCCGCCATAGGAGCGTGGCTGGTTCCTGTGGATCAGCTCAAATCTTCTCTCCGCAAGCTGGACATGGAGGGAACGCTGCGCGTCTGTGCCGTCATGGGCTGCATCATGACTGAGGCTCTGGAGGTCAGGGGTTCCTCAGTGGACGACGTGAACCCTCCCATGGTTCAGTGTCCTCCGTGTCTTTTGACAAACGTCTAAATCTCCTGGCTGTTCCTGCACATTAACAAGGTTCTCCATTACGTTCTGTCACTCACAGAAGAAAAGCATCCACATCCCCATTCGCAGCAAGTACAACCGTGTAACAAAGCGAGCGCGTTACCTGCACGAGAACCCCTCCTGTATGCTGTGTCACATCCTGCACCGATACCTCCAACAGTCGGACTATTCCGTCATAGAGGAGGCCACCATGGTCAGTTTAGCTCAAAGGCAGTAAAGTAGAAGTCCAGCTCTGGCTGTGCTGAAGATGCCACTCATTTCTTCTTCTCTTTCTTTTCCCACCTTCCACCACAGAATGATGGCGTCCCGGCTCTGGTGACTCTGAAGAAAGGTCTGGTGGCTCTGGCCAGACAGTGGATGAAATTTATCGTGGTGACTCAGGGCTTCAAGGCCATTGGTCCAACGAGGCCCAATCAACTGGCCAAACCCAGAGAGCCTCA